CTGAGTTGATGGTGAGGTCGCTGAACCCGCCCCCGTTGATGACCATGGCGGAGGGGAAGTATTCCCACCTGCTGTGTGTAGTCAGGGGCTCCTGCAGGAGCTCGGGAAGTTCGAAATCCTCGGGCCTGGTTATCGAGAAGGCGGTCTGGATTGGCACCGACTCGTCAGATGGTCGGGCATCTTCTTCGGGCTCCTTCTCCTCACGGGCTTCACGACGGGGAGCGTCGTTTCTTCTGTACTGTGCCAGTCTCCCTCCTTTGATGAGGGTTTCAATAGCATCCTTCAGGTGGACGCAGTCTTCTGTCAAGTGACCATGACTCCTATGGTACTGACAGTATTTGTTTTTATCTACTCCTGGCTTGGCAGGAGCTGGTCGGGGACGCTTGACGCCACCGTCCTTGAAATCTGTGCTTGCACACTCCGCCAGAATACGCTCGCGGGAAGCCGTGAGCGGAGTGTACTCAGTAAACCTGCCCGAGGGGCCCCTTTGTTCCCGGACCTCCCGGGGTCTGTCTTCCTTCCTCTTCTCTCCGGTGCGTCGGGGAGGAGGGTCTTGTCTCGAGCTGCTGCCGTGGTTGCGAGCCCTGGAGTCTCGTGCCCTGTTGGCAGCTTCTCTCTCCTCGTAGTCCATATATGCTCGGGCTTTGTCGAGGAGAGCATCAAAAGTTGCAGGTGGCTCGATGCCTACAGCTTTCCTGAATTCGGTGCCGGGGAGGAGGCCCCTCTCCAGCAAATACCTCTTCATGTGGTCCGCGCAGGGGACCTGTATTGCTTCCCGGTTGAAGCGGTTGATGAATTCCCTCAAGGTCTCATCATGCCTTTGAATGATGGCCTCGAGGGCTGCCTCAGTCTTTGGATGGCGACGAGACGCTGTGAAGGAGCTGATGAACTGGTTCTTCAAGTTCCTCCACGAGGTGATGGAGCCCGGGGCAAGTCCCTTGTACCAGTCCATGGCCGCCTTCCTGAGAGTTGTTGGGAAGAGGCGGCACTTGATGGGACCCCCGACATTGTGGTAGTGGAGCATGGCTTCGAACCCGTCAATGTGGTCGACTGGGTCCGCCACTCCATCATACTCCTTTAGGTGTGGGGGCTTCTCCATGCCCGGGGGGATAGGTGCGTCCATGATTGCCTGCGACAGGGGACCGCGGGGGTCATCCTCGTCGCTCCTTTCTGGAGAAAGAGAAAGGGTCCTGTAGTTGTGTCGGGCACGTTGTTCGTGCTGGGATTCCCTTGAACGTGATGTTCGGTGGGCGAAGGTCACATGTCCGTCTCTGTTGTGCCTCCGTTCGTGTCTTGAGGCGTCGCGAACGGGATCTTCGGCAGGGATGACGGGCTGTCTTTCATACTGGGGCCGCCTCTGCTTTGGTGCGGGAGAGGGGCTCCTAGAGTGTTCCCTGTACTGTCTCCGCGGGGGAGTAGGGTGTCGAACTTCTTCGACCCGAGGAAGTGGAGATGGTGGCCTTTGATGCCTCCTCGGGGGGCGTCGATCATTTTCCAGCGCCCTAAGTCTTTCTCCTTGCGCGAACAGGAGATAGTTCGTCTGGTTGATGGCCGCGAACAGTGCCTGAGCTGTGGCATCTGCCCCGGCAGGGGCTTGAACTTCATAGAACCGGGCAGCCTGGCGATAGGCGAGGGCCTCCGGATCGTCTTCAAGTCCTGGAGGAGTTGTCGAGGAGGACGCAGTGTTCCCGTCCCTGCGGGTGGAAGGTCCAGGGGCGGTTGTCAGGGGGGCGGCATTGTGGCCGGCGCCACTGGGATTGTCCAGGTGCCCATTCTTGTCCGCGGGACCGTTGTTGGCGTCGAGGACGCGAGAGTGTTGTTCTTCACGAGTTGGAGAGGCCATGACGGTGAATGGATTGAGCTTTGGTCTTTGAAAACTGTTCGTTAGACGGGGAAGCTGTTTCCCACAGACGGCGCCACTGATCTGACCTGATCAGAAGGTTTGGACCGTCACGGCTGCTCCGAGCTGAAGGCTTTTTGAACGAGGAGGGGGGGTACCTGCAAGGCACTCCGATGCTTAAGTCAGTGGGAGTACTAGCAGATAATAGAGTTGAGGTTAGAATTGATGATTACCTGACCCTCTGGAAACAGAGGGTATTTATAGCCCCCAGGGCTGGGCCAAGGTTCCTTCATTGGGCCGGGCGGATTTGGCCCAATGGAGGAACTGCCAGGTTCTACGTGGGTAGTGGGGATCAGCGCGTGGTCCCCTTCCTGGAGGTGCTGCGTGAAGTGCGGGCGGACAGAGACGCGGTCTTTACGGAGTATCGTTGGGGCAATAGAGGACTAAGTCTGCCCTAGCAAGGTAGCTCGAGTCCATGTCGAGCAGTGCAGCATGGTGTCGACCTCGACGCCAAGACCCCGAGCTGGACAGCGAATGTCGAGCTGGAAGCCAGGGCATAGAGCTGGACGGAAGTCTGTCGAACGTGGCTTCGTAGCGTGGGCTGGACACTGAGATGTCGAGGTGGACATCAGCGTGTCGGGCATGGACGTTGTGGTCCTTAGTGAGTCCCATTGGATTGGGCCTTTGCCCATTGTGGTCCTTGGTGAGTCCCATTGGACTGGGCCTTAGTAATGCTTTTGGGCATGTCGGGCCCAGTCCAGAACAATAACTATATCATATCGTTTCTCAAATCATGAATTTTATCGTATTTTATCTCTTTAATTCAAGTCTTTATCTAGAATCTGAGTTGAGTAAAATATCATGATAAAAAAATAACTCACTTATTTATTCTTAAAATAATATAATTTAAAAAATAAAAAATTTTAAATTTAATATGATATCAATAAAAATTAAAATAAATTTAATATTAAATTAATAAAATGATATGTCAAAAAAAAAGAATTTAATTATTATTAAAATTTGATTATATAAAATTAAAATTATCATTAAAAATTTCAAAAATATGCATGAATAATTTCATTTTTCATTAATTTTTTTATTGTGGTTTTTCACCCTTAATTTCTAGGGGAATGGACCTAATAATCCGAAAGATTCGTTCCATAGAGGGAATTCCTTAACCACTTATTGCAATAGTAATTATTTCGTTACATGTAGTATATATCTTATATTTATTTAAATTATTTAATAAATATAATAAAATTATTTATTTACTCAGAATTTTATATAAAATTTATGTTTTATTTATCAGGTTAATTAATTGATTTTGATTGTTCACGCATAACCAAGATCGTTAAGCCATGAAGAGTTTTAGTTCGCGCCACCTTCGTCGAATTTAAGGGCTTTCGCTATACCGTTTATGTGTCTAATAGTTTTTCTACATTTCCATGAATTAGAAATTTGGCCCGCTTCAACTAAAGTTGTGGCGGTTGTGGTGGATTCATCTGAAGAAGAAGAGAGGGCTCCATTAATCAGACATAGACGGGGACATACAAGATTTCCTGTAATAATTCCCTGTTCACAATACAAGATTTCCTGTTCATTTGTTGTAATATAATCTGGAGCTATTTTGGTGACTTTCTACTCTGCAGTAGTTTATGTAGATTGAGGTTCGATACTACTGCTGTTGATTTAAATAGCCACCATTCTATTGATTTTTCTGTGTCGATTGGTACTTCTGGCATTCATTTTTTTTGTTATATAATAAGTTTAATTTTAGTTTCTATCTCAAGCTATGGCCTATATTTTTTCTGTTATATAAGTTCAGGTGACAATGATCTTGCTGTTAAAGGGCAACAATACTCCAGGAAAGTTCAAAAAATTGTGTAGCCGTTTGGAAGTCTCTTGGAATTCATTCAGACGAAAAAAGTAAAGCAACGAACAAGTTTGTTTTTGTTTAGGGAAAGCCCTGCCCCTTGCCAGGATACTGATTCTTCTGATGAGTTGAAACAACTTTAATTGGAAATGTCCCAAGTTGAAACAACTTAATGGTTGCTATTATATTTTCATAATTACTTTATTTGCATTGCAGAGATATGCAGGAATGGCAGCTGTCGCTGGGCGTAGTTCACGTGCATCGGGTGAAAATGCTATTGTCCGACCCCTTTCAGGAGTGAAATCCCAAAGATAATGCAGAGAATTTGTAGTAGCTATTGAGACAAGCTTGTCTGTGATCTGATTGCCTTCTATTATAGGGCACTTCCTTGGTGCAATAGGGGCTTGGAAGCTATTGTCAGTGTAAAAGCAATAACAACAGGATGGTTGCATTCGTCGATCAATCAATCCGTAAGTGAGCTTTCATTTTTATTTTCAGCAATATGGTGATATAAGAACCCTATATACTGCATGTAAACACAGGGGATTTGTGATGATAACCTATTATGACATCCGTGCTACTCGAACAACTATGCGTGCATTGCAAAACAAGCCTTTGCAGCGTAGGAAACTCGACATTCACTTTTCAATGCCTAAGGTTTCTTACCTAAAAACAATTCTTGTCATTTATTATTTTACTAGCTGAACGCCCTCACATTCATATTATCTTGCCTGTTTTATTTCCTTTTGACTTTGCAGGATAATCCATCAGACAAGATGTCAACCAAGGAACCTTGGTAGCTTTCAATTTGGATCCATCAATTTCAAATGAAGACCTCCGTCAAATATTTGGGGATTACGGAGAGATCAAAGAGGTGAGTTTTATCCTTTTAAAAATTGTACTATTTTGCATTCGAGTCTCATGGAAACAAACACATTATATGCGATTTATTGTTTAAACTTGAACTTAAGATGAATAGTTGGATATCTCTGCAGATAAGGGAAACTCCTCACAAGAAGCATCACAAGTTTATTGAATTTTATGATGTCAGAGCTGCAATTGGCATCATGCTTACTATGTGTATTGTGTTAGTTATTAATTGATCATTAAGGTTTTGTCATAAACTAATTCTATTGAATGTATTTATGTTCCTTTCACTTATTACACTGTTGTTTTGAATTTTAAGATTTTGTATACATTTGTCCTGACATGTTGTTAGTTGTGTCAGCATTAATTCCTCCCTGCTGGCCATTTATGATCACGAGTTGGTTCAGATCTAGATTTATAATGTTTTTATTTACCACAACTGGTTCTATTAAGGAGTGGAAACCAAAGCCAACATATACAATTAACCAGGCTTCCGAACCAGCAAGCATATCCAAGTCTTCTATCGTTTCAGCTAAAACTACCACACAATTGTCGTGTGTGTCTAAGGTCCTTGATTCTGAGGAAGTTGCTTATGAACTGGAGAAGAAGCTTGAGAATTTACGCGTTCCACCATGTCAACATGTCATTCTTCCAAACCATATTCTGGTTTCTGAATCTGAAAAGAGCAAGTTTAGCTTTGGGAGCCCGGGATCAATGGTAGCAATGTTGTAAACCACAGATGTTGGTAATGTTCTTGCATAATGTTTGAGTTTAATTCTTAATATCCTTATATTAACGAAAGTTGGAACTGAAATTGGGTATTGGTGGTACCTCATTTGAGGATTTCATAAAAAGCTTGCATTTGCCTTTGCAACTAATGTATGTTATTCTTTGACTAGCCGATATAATCAATTTGCGATTTATGTTTAAGAATTACAGATTTACTTGATCAATAACTAATTACGATTTGGTTGGTTCTTAAATCCAGCCAAGTCGACCTAATTGTGGCATCCTTTTCAGGTGGAGCAGTTGGCGTTATTTCAGCACTGATGTTAATTGAGGCAAATATTGTTGAGCAACAAGAGAAAACCAGGTGCAAGTATTCCCTTGGAGCTGGTGTGTTTCGACTCTTCGAAGATTGTCACTCTCTTAATAATATAAGGTCTAAAAATGAAAAATGATGCGTCTCACGGTTTTGTATGAATGAGTTAAATCCGATGTATAGTTAAATAGATGGACTATTATAAGCTCTACCATGTTAAAAAAATGGAATTGTATTAACTATAACTTTTTGTGTTTGTGTTAAGTACAGCTTTGTGTGTGTCAAGTGCTAAATAAAAAGTTATGCAGAAGGCTATTAAAGGAGCTGCCAAGAGGAATTACATTGAGTAAAAGGGTTTAAGAAAGTCTTCAAATTAACTCAGTTGATAATGTTTTTTTTTTTAGTTTGTTTCAGGACTGCTAATGAATTGTTTAAGCAGATAGAGGGTTCCAGAAGTTCTTAGACAGAGTTGAATATAGCGAAAAGAGTATTTTACGATATGAGCATATTTATGGTCGAGGCTTTATAAGCGCCAGAGGACTTGGTATGCCTTCATATCTTCACTTCTCTGCTTCAAATTGAAATGGAAGAATGATCTTCCTTGACACTCTCTTTATCATTTACCCTGTCTAATGAAAACTATACTAACTGGCTGACTCGCTGTTAAGTTATTTGCTTTATGAGTACACAAGGTCTTATGACACCTACTTTTCCTAAGAACCCAGCAGTTCCAGTTGTTCAGAATTATCGTAGATTCATGTGATAGTGCATGGTTGCACAAGAAATAATTGGCCAATATTTTCAACTTTTTTGTTCTGGATTTTTACCACTGGTTGGGATGCTGTTTTTGATGCTGGTAACTTTTCTGTCTTTTAGTTTATGCTTCTTTGTATTGTAGGCCAAAATTTCGTTATTTTATTGATTTTATGATTTTATCTGGAAATATTTAGCATGTGTTTGATTCTGTTGTGAAAAAATTGATTTTTAATTAATTGATTTTGTAATATATTCGCTTAAACTCAAATCCATTTTTTGCTTGATTGATGATTATGCTAGCTGAATTACAAGTGTTGGTAGGGTTTCACAAATGGAAGTAAACAAATTTCAATAACTGAGTTTATAGTCTGAATGCAGTTATATATGATAAAAATTTCAGATCTGACTGCTGGAGGTGTGAATTAAATAGATTTTTATTTTATTTTTTTACTTATTTCTTAGTAAGATTCCGGCTTATACATGTTTATCATCTATTGGACATGAAGCTGAGTACTGCCTTGCTACGTGATGCCATTAAAATATCGTCGTGTTCTCAAGTAATTCATGCTGGACCTATTCTAAAACTATGAAGTTTGATTATAAATTACAATGTGTAAAGATGGTCATGTGTTATGCTCAAATAATTCAGTTGCTTTATCTGTTTAACTTGACTTTGTTCTGTAATAGTTCTCTGTATATAGTACTATGACTGAAATGATGTTAAGTTCCTCTCCGGGTTGAGAGGATCCGACCCAAATTTAAGACAAGATCAACAAAGGTAAGAATTTAGTAACCATTATTCAAAAGTCTGAAAGATATATATTAGTATTTCAATAAATAATGTTACTTTTAATATGATCAGAACAATTAGAGATGATATGTGTTATAAGTCTTTGGTCACAAAGACACTTTTATTGAAATATATATTATATGATTGGTGATTCTCTAACAACAAACTAAATCATTCATATCCTTACTTCCATAATTTGACTTGATAATTCAAACATTAGTATATGTATATTCTAACATCAAGTCATTGAGAATTCAAAAGTGAAATAGTCTCACTTCTATTCATAGTTATCTGCAACTTTGACACTCTCAAGTGCTATTTCCCCCTCTTGATAACACCTGTAGTTGATGTCACCATAATTTGTGACATTTTTGTACAATCTCGGACATGTCTCATTTATTAAGCCTTCAACTGGTCAAACTTCGTTCTCTGGTTCTGGTTCATTAAACATTGCAATAGACATCCTCAACTTTTCTGTATTTGTCACAACCCTATGCATTTGACTCTTGAATATTCCATTGCTCATAATCCACAACAACACCCAACTACAAATTAGTATTTTCATTATGATTGCTGAATTTTAATTTTGTTAGGATTATATAATCTTATTTACCTACCTGCATTTGATCGCCAAGATTGACAACAAGAGCATTAGGTATTGCAGGAACATTGATCCATTTGTCATCTATAAGAACTTGAAGACCTTCAACTTCTTTATCTATCTTCCAAGAGAAAGCATTCGTTTTTCTTTTGATAAAACTTGAAGGGTGAGGCAAATAAGACCAATCAAGAACTTGCTTCTCTAAAACAACTCTATCATTTCCATACCCTTCAGATTAATTCACAGCTCGTGCATGCTTCTGTTTTCCCCCAACTGGAAATGCAAAAAATTGTTTTGCAACTTCATGAACTTTGTCAAGATGAAGTTGACATATCATGACCAATTTCTGCGTAAAGCAGTTTCATCGGCATACCTCATTGGAGCAATTTGACGGTTGAACATCTTGATGTATCGTTTCCTCTGGTTTTCTCCTTCAACTCACATCGTGAACGTTATTCACTTGGTATCAAGTTTTCTCCTAGGTCTCACTACTCTTGGAGGCATAATGAGAATTGGAAAATTAGGGATTTTATGGTGGAGAATGGAATGGGATGAATGTAGACGGATGAGAAAATGGTGAGATGAAATTGATGTTAGTGGGGTTTTAAATAGATTGAATGAGATTAGAGGAAGTGGGGAAGTTATGGAAGTAGTGGAGGACAAATGGGTGAGTGGGTAGAGGTTTTGAGAAGAGAGAGAGGTTGTAAAATCGTGGGGAGGAAGTTTTAAAGAACACTTCTATTTTTGAATGCTATGGCGACCGCCATAGGAGTAATGGCGAACGACATCACCTTAAAACGTTAATTTTTCTATTTTTGAAAGCTATGGCGGGCACCATAGGCCCAATGTTGGACACCATGGGTATCAAAAATGCAGAATTCAAAAGAATTTACGTTCTACTGTTGAGGCATGGCATGTTAGCTGCTCAGATGTTTATCCAGAGGCATCATACTTGTGAGAATTCATAAATCGATTAATTTGCCTTGAATTGAACCATTTGTATGACAAAAAGTAAATGTAAACACAAAAAGTAAACAAAAGAAAAAAAATGAAAAATTGAAAATTTTGCATTATTAAATTGTAAAATCGTGGGTTGCCTCCCATGCAGCGCTTGTTTAATGTCGGAAGCTTGACAAAATGTAAATAATAACAATTAGAAAACAAGAAAAGCCTAACTAAAAAGCGATGATATCTTAGATTAGAAAGCAAAGAAATCCTAAAAATTAAAATTAATGTTAATCCTTCCCACACACTTAAACTAGACAGTGTCCTCACTGTTTAAATGTAAGAGTTGGAAATGCAGTAACATCCAAAATGATTTAGCCTCTACGGCGCCCGTTGGTAGAAGAAGCAAAAGAGTAAATATGTTGGTAAATTTGATCGAATTGCCTTGTCACTACATCCATAAAGTCGTGGTAGTCCATGTTTAATGTGGTTAACTCGCCTCTAAGGTTAGCAACATCCGTCTGTAATGCAGTGATTGCAGCAGCGTGATCAATAGGCTGAGCAGCAGGGGAAACCGAGGCACATGAGTCAGCATTAGAGAGATAAGCATCAAAGTGGTCAATAATTTAGGGTGTGTTTGGAGGAGAGGGTGGTGCATCCGTCCAAACCAAAAAGCCAATTGTTTCGGTCATGTACACTAGTTTGCTGGTTTGGTAAGGTAAATAGGTGCACAACCTCATTGTTGATCAGGAATTCAAACTCATCTGGTCCCAGGTTTTTAATAATGCCATTGTTAAAACAAAATTGAATGTTCATGGGTCGGATTCCACCTAGAGGATTACATATAATAAGTGGTTATTTCAATCCAATGGCATTGGAAATCATGGTCACTAGGTCTCCTATAATGATTGGTCCATGGGTAGCTTGTGCAATACGATCCAAGTTGGCTGTCATAAAGGTAACAACATTAACGGGTTAGGATTGTGAAGCACAATTCATAATGAAAAGTTCATCTCTGTACAAGGAAATAATGTTTCCTTCTTTCTCGAATAGGGTGTGAGTAAGGATCTTGTAAAGGTAACAGATCGCCAGATTATGGATGTTTTCAGAGTGCATATCATTTGGCTCAGGGTGGTTGTTTTCGGTTATGCTACCCCAAAAGTAATTGAGTTAAGGTTCATCAGGAGTTCTTCTTGAGTAATGGTAAAGTCGACATGCCCATTAGGGAAGTCTAGAAGTTCGACCATTTCTCTGTGGGTGTAGCGGTAACCAATACCAAACATCCTAAAATGATAAGTCCTCTGTTAAATCATGAACCATGGTTAGGCAAATAGGTAAGGGAACTCGGAAATTCAAGGGTCAACCTACGATAAGTACTAAATCTTCTCCTAACGGTAAAATTATCCCATCCTAGTTGGTTAAGGAAAAAACGTAACACTATCTCTGATTCTTAGCTTGGTCATAATGATTCCATTAGGGTAGATAGGTAAAGCTATCTCCCTTTGAGCTAGTACCTCAAAATGCCTCCTTTGGGCCCTGCCTCTGAAAATAATTCACATTGTGTCTACTTGTTGCATCGTGGAAGTTAGAGAAGTTAT